AAAACACATGATAGTAAAATAATTACCTTCTCAGCTTCGCATCAAAGCTAAAACGGTGTTATTTTACATAATAATTATATTTTTTGTTCAATTTCGGCGGTCATTTTCTCATACATAAAAAATACTTCAGGGAAAAAAAACTGTATTGATCTATACATTTATCAAAAAATTATAGAAATTTAAAATATAAAATTTAACTACAAAATGGCATGTATTTTATCTACGGCATTAAATTGTTATTTTTCAAAAATTATAGCAATTTAAATTTGAAAAGATAAAATCTAAAATTTGAACACAAAATTAGCATTTTTTTTTAACTATACAACTATTTGCACTGAACTTAAAAAAGAAAAACGTATCTTACATATGCTGGGCCTGAACCACTTAATGCAGTTATAGGATCCAAGAGATATTCGGAAACACGTTCAACTGTACCAACAGAAGATAGTAATTTATAAGTAAGACTTTCGTCCTCCTCTGTAGCTTTACTTCCAGAAACGTATACTGATGCTCCACATTGAACCAATGTTGGTGTATTTGGCATTACTCTCATCACACGTGAATCTTCTGGTAAACTCTAAAATAAAAAAAAAACGATAACACAAAAACAACATCCAATCCTATTTCTTTAATTATATCATGAATAGTAGTTCTTAGATTTAAAAGTAACGTTTATTACTAATATTATTTATAGCATTTAAATAAAGTATGAAATCAATATTTAATAATTTAATATTGTAATTTTTATGGAGAAATAATAAAAAATAGTAAAGTAGTATATTTTATTATTTCTAAGACAAACACGTATAATACGGTAGCACAGATATCTGACAATTATTAAAATCACTATAATAAGAAACGCTTCGATGCAAATCTGTTAACGATGTTTAATTTTAAGAAATTAGTGTATTATTCCAAAAGCAATATTAACTCCCATTTCCTTTATTTTATCCTGATTAGTAGTTATTAGATATAAAAGTATAATACATGAATATTACAAAGCAAATATATTATATAAGCTTTAATTTAATATGATATAAAAATTACAGTATTTCCAGAACGTTTTCGAAAATTAAATTTAAAAAACACAGCACAGTGGGGTCGAGGCATAGTGGAGACGTTGCATAGTTGGGTCTAGTGTAGATTTAATTTGACAGTAATTAAAATCATTATCATAAGAAACGTTTCGATGCAAATCTGTAGATAGTGTTTAACTCTAAAAAATTGATGTATAATAAACAATGGACAAAAGCAACATCAACTTCTATTTCCTTAATTATACCCAGACTAATAATTCTTTTAATTATATATTATATAATTTTTAAAATTAATTGTTTTCAAATTATTATTGATTTTGATATTTAATATGTTAAAAGTAATCATTTTGAACCTCCTTTTTTAGCTTCGATGCAAAGCTGAGAAGGTATTGGTTTTACTAAGATGTGTTTATTTTTTTTTTTCGTATCTGTTACCACTTTTTCTCAGCTATCACCAAACCCATTTCTTTCAATGATACGTCAAAAGATCACAAATCATATCTAGTCGAAAACATTACCCTTAAAAATTGAAAAAATTTCCCTCGTTCCCCGTAAATGGGGGAAACCTCCGAAAAAATTACAAATTTAAAAATGTCTAATTTTCGAAATTTTTTCACTTTTTTTTACTAAAAACTGCCGTAACTTTTTTAAAAATAAACATATTAATATAATTCTTTTTTTTATAGATGCATGATGTCATTACCTAGCATTTGGTATATTTTTTTTATAAATCTGACTTTTTACCACTGTGCTGGGTTTTTTTGTCGTTTAAAGTGAAAGTTATAATAAAAAAGAAAATGAATTTAGTACCATAACTTGTAGCTCAACTTGCAAGTTTGAAATTGACATTATTAAATAGAAAAAAATTAAATTATTAAGATTAATATGCAATCAGGAAAATTTATAATTATTATTTACAATACATTTATCAGAAAATTTCAATTTTTTTTACATTTTTATCGAAATAGATCACTTAAACAAAAATCATAGTATTATTTCTAATTAACTTTTGGTGTTTAAAAAGATTCTACAATGGAAATATTCGGAATTTAATTAATTTTAAAAATTATATATCTAAAAAACCTAATAAAAAAAAGATTTACTAAATTGAGCGTATTATAATATTTGAAAATAATTGTAAAAATCTATCGCTAAATTCAAGTGAAACTATAAATCATTTTTTAGCTTCGATGCAAAGCTGAGAAGGTATTAATTTTACTATGATTGGTTTTTTTTTTGTGTCTGAGAACGATCAATCTCAGCTCTCGCTGGACCGATTTTGATGAATAATATGTCAAAAGATCACAAATCGTATCTAGCGGAAGATATTACTCTCAAAAATTGAAAAAAATTTCCTTCGTTCCCCGTAAATGGGGGAAACCTCCAAAAAAATTACAAATTTAAAAATCGCTAATTTTCGAAATTTTTTCAATTTTTTTTACTTAAAAGTGCCATAACTTTTTCAAAAATAAACATATCAATATAATTCTTTTTTATATAGATGCATAATATCATTACCTTTCATTTGGTATATTTTTTTCATAAATTTAACCCTTAACCTGCCCACAAGGGGGGATTTAAAATGACAACTTTTTCACAAAAAATTAATTTTTTTAACTTAAATTTTGAAAATGTTCCGGAAGGTCTGACACTTTTATATATATCTTAAATTAAAGCT